CCCGGGTCTCCACAGCGAAAAGCTTGCTGCCCAACCTCAGGTCTCCCAGATCTTGTTGTGCGGGTTCGGTTCTACCTACGGGCCAGCCCTGCCACTCACCTGGGTACCCTTGCCAGCCCCGGGAGGCCCCAGCAGCACGGCCCGGATGCCTTTAGGATATTCTTGGGCCGAATCTTCCGCTGGAACGTTGGGAGCCATGTCTGCCGAAACCTCAGGCTACCGCCCGACCGCACACCTCACAGGTCCAGCTCTTCCAGGCCAGCGCTCCACGCACGCCACGCACGCCCGACTCTTTACTTACATTGGTCCGTTTCCACGTCCGTCAGATTGTTCTGCCCGCCTCTGAACGCGACGGACATTTCAATTTACCAACCACATGACGATATTCTGGAAAACGGCTTTTGATTGGACAAAATTCGTAAAGTAGTAAGGAAGAAGCGTCCCAGCATGGACTGAGCGGTGCAGAGTGCCTCGCGACCTGTGTGTAGAGTAGGCGGGAATCGTGAGGAAAGTCTACCGGGACTGGGAGTTTGTGTTCGGTTTTTGTCAGTTTCTGCGGAGACCTGCAAATCCAGAATCCATGATATTTCTGGTGGGAGAGTAAATGATAATAATAATTTTTAGAACACAAATTGGCAATGTGTTAAAAACGCTCTTTGGGCCAGCCATTCAAAGGACATAATCAAGGATATATATATTTATGTAACAAAGGTGTTAATTGCAATACACAGAAAAGAGAGAGAAAAGCAACACCTCAAATATCTAACAATGAGAGTTAAATAAATTGCAATAAATTTGTATATTGGCGTTCTCCCATGTATAAAACTATTTAATCATATGGGAATAAGTTCACCAAACAGGATACAATATTGCAGTTACAGGAAACTTCTAATTTTGTTCCCTAGTTACAAATAAATGTTGGTGTGGCGTTAAGGATTAATGCGCTGGGTTACAAAGTCAATTTGAACGCCAAAGTCAGTGGTTCAAGCTCACCAGCAGCTTCTTGGAAACCCTATGGGTTGGAACCGACTGACGGAACTTGATGTTAGTAACAAGTTACAAGGGATGATTTCCATATAGTGTGATTATAGCAGGGCTATCAGTTCAAGCTCACCAGCTGCTCCTTGGAAACCCTATACAGGGTCGCTATGGGTCGGTCGGAACTGACTTAGCACTTAACAACAACAACATGAATGGGTTCATTCTACTCTGAACCCTTTAGGCATTTACTGCGTAAAATATAAAGAGCTCTGTGGTTACGAGTCAGCTTAGTGGTTACGAGACAGACTGCTAACCTCAAGGGCAGCAGGTGGAAACTAACAGCATTTCCGTGGGGGAAAGAGGAGGCTTTCTGCTCCTGTAGAGATTTACAGCCTCAGAAACCGTATGCAGGGTCACTATGAGTCGGAACCGACTCCACGGCACACCACCACCTAAGATACAGTGAATCAGAATCTATATTTTAGTAATTTACCCGATTCACTTGTGTTATTGTTGTCAAGTGCTGTCGAGTCGATTCTGACCCATAGGGTTTCAAAGGAGCAGCTGATGAGCTTGAACCTTGCAGTTCAAACGGTTTTGTAGTCTGGCACATTAACCCACAGCACCACATGTAGATCTTATTAATAAAATGTAGATTCTGATTCAATATATCTCTCCAGTGGAAATGCAAATTCTCAGCAGGGGGATCAAACCAGAAGGAACTATTCAAAGCCTGAATTATAGAAGTTTAGCCCACTTCTTTGTGTATTTTTGTATCTTCTGAATGGTTTACAATGAATTCTACAATAATTAGAACGGTCTTTACAAATAGAAAAGAGCAACTTTTTTAAAGTCAGGAAAAGATAGTTTTTCTTAAAAGTGATGCCCTCTCTTGGAAGGGGAAGTAATTTCGACAGCTTTTTGGTGTGTGAAAGTTTCATCTACTCCTCTTATGAAGCAACTAGTGAGGTCCTGTCAAGATCAGCCCCAAGGGTCCCTTAAGACCTTTTGTTGAATGTGATTATGAAGCAATAATGTGTTCTTCACAGGCTTGTGTTGTTGCTGTTAAATGCCACCAAGTAAGTGCTGACTCATAACCACCCTGTATAGGTTTTTCAGGGAATGGCTGGTGGGTTTGAACCACCAAACTTGAAGTTAGCAGTCTAGTGCTTATCCTACAGTGCCACACCAGACTCATGGTCAGTTCATTTCCTACAGCCTAGTGGTGGCATAGCAGTGGACTTCTGGTGTGGTGCTGTAAGATCAGCACTGGACTGTGAACCACAAGATTGGCAGTTCAAACCCACCAGCTGCTCCTCAGAAACCCTATTCAGGGTTGCTATGAGTTGGAACCAAATCGATGGCACTAAACAACAACAACAGTGATGAATTTGCTATGCCTTTAACTGTTGTTGTTGTTGTTTGTTGTTAAATGCCATCGAGTCAGTTCTGACACTTCGAGACCCTGTATTGGGTTTCTGAGGAGAGGCCGGTGAGTGTGAACTGCCGACTTGTGGTTCGAACCGACCTTGCAGTCCAGTGCTTATCCTACAGCGCCACATCAGGACTCTGTTGTTGTTGTTGGTTGGTTATGTTCTGTGGAGTCAGTTCTGACTCATAGTGACCCTGTACAGGGTTTCCAAGGCTGTAAATCTTTATGGGAGCAGAAAGCCTCATTTTTCTCCCATGGAATAGCTAGTAGTTTCAAACTGCTGACCCTGAGGTTCACAGCCCAATTGGTAACCACTATACTACAAGAGCTCCTTTGTTGTAAAGTGCTGCCGAGTTGATTCCGACCCATAGCGACCCCGTAAAGGTTTCCAAGGAGCAGCTGGTGAGCTTGAACCGCCAACCTTGCAGTTCAAACAGCTTTGCAGTCTGACGCATTAACCCACAGCACGTTGTTAGGTGCCATCAAATTGGCGCTAACTCGGAGCAACCTGATGTGCAACAACAGAACGAAACACTGCTCAGTTCTGTGCCATCCTCACAATTGTTATGTTTGGGCTCTTTGTTGCAGCCACTATATCCATCCATCTCATTAAGGGCCCTCCTTTTTTTGATGACCATCTACCAAGCATGATGTCCTTCTCTAAGGATTGGTTTTTCCACATACCATGTCCAAAGTACATGAGATGAAGTCCCACCATCCTCACCTCCAAGGGACACTCTAGCTGTACTTCCAAGATTTATTTGCTCTCCTGGCAGTTCATGGTACTCTTTCAGTATTCTTCACCAACACCATAATTCAAACACATCCATTGTTCTTTGGTTTTCCTTATTAATTTCCTTATTAATTGTCTAGGCCTTCTTGATTGGAAAACTGCTGCATCTTGAGTTGTTTCTGATCTTGAATTGTATGTACCCTGTTCACTTTCCTAATAAACTGTTATGAGTTCTATGTAACCATTGCAAAAGATTATTAAACCCGGTTGTGAAACAGGGCTGTGGCAGGGATGGTTGGTGTTAGAAGAGTGTAAAAAATGTTGTAGGGTGGAGGCTTGTCAGAAATCTGCCTTAGGCTTGTTTTTAGTTTGAGTCTCCTTCCCCTTTGTGAAGTCAGAAATAACATTTGCATGGTTTTTGCATAACATTATCCATAGTTTGCTAGGATCCACACAGTCTAATGCCTTTGCATAGTCAATAAAGTACAAGTAAACATCTTCCTGGTATTCTCTGCTTTCAGCGAAGACCCATTTTACTTCAGTAATGATATCCCTCCTTCTACTGGAATTTCTGACAACTTTCTGTTTATGTTCTGCTACAACCATTTTTGAATCATGTCACCAAAAATTAATTTGCATATGATATTATTTAATGATTTCTGCATTCTGTTGGACCACCTTTCCTTGGAATGGGCACAAATATGAATCTCTTCTAGTTGGTTGGCCAAGTACTTGTCTTCCAAATTTCTAGGGATAGCCTAATGACTACTTCCAGGACTACATCAGTTTGTTGAAATATTTCAATTGATATTTCATCAATTTCTGGAGCCAATTCAATTGTCTCTAATATCTTCAATGTAGCTTGGATTGCTTTTTTCAGTACCACCGGTTCTTGGTCATATACTACCTCCTGAAATGGTTGAACATTGACCAATTCTTTTTAGTACAGTGATTCTGTGTATTCCTTTCATCTTTTTAAAATTGTGAATAGAGTGAAGGTTTACAGAGCAGATAATCAGTTTTACATTCAGGAAATCATATACTTGGCTTCATTACAATGATTGCAATCCCACCTCTGTACCAAGAGTTAACAATATTTACTTCTATCCATTGTAACTCTTGCATTCTTCTCTGTGTCTCCTCTACCTTCGTCTTCTCTCTGTTAATCTCTCTCTTATTGTATATTGCCTTTCCTGTTACCCATGTTAACATGTGTCTACCCTGTAGGCTGGAGTTCTGGTGTAGTACAGTGGTTTAATGCTTTGGACTGCAAAGTTGGTTTGAACCACAATGTCAGCAGTTCAAGCTCACCAGTCGCTCCTCAGAAACCCAGTACAGGGCTGCTACAAGTCAAAATTGACTCAGCGGCACTTAACAACAACAATCCTGTAGCCCATGAATAATTTTCCTTCCCTCATCCCCTCCGTTAACCATCATAGATTTTCCTCCAGGTTCATTCATGTTATAAGGTGCTTTGCAGATTCATCATTATTCTTCAATGTTGCATAGTATTCCATTGTGTGTATGTACCAAAGTTTATTTAACCATTCTTCTGTTGATGCCATTTAGGCTGTCTCCAAGTTTTTGATGTGTCTATTATAGACAACATATACAAGGATCCTGTTTTCTTATCCAGTCTGTTCTGTCTCTTGACTGGTACATTTAATCCATTTATATTCAGTGTAATTATTGATAGGTATGAATTGATTGCTGTCATTTTGTTGTGTGATTTTTGTGGTACTTCTGGTTTCTTTGCTCCACATCATTTTCTGTTCTGAGATCATTTTGTTTGTGGGTTTTCTTTTCATTTTCATTTCTGTTGTGTTAACGCTTACGAAATCTTTCCCATTTTCCTCTTTTTAAAATTTGATTTACAGGTATATTAATTTTCAGTATAAATTACAGATTATCCTGTAAGCTAATAATTTTTTTTCCTTACTTAAAACCATCTGTTTTATTTTGAAATCTACTTGGCTTCTTTGTCATTTGGAAGTTTTGTATCCAAACTATTCCGTCTTTTTGCTTTGTAGTTATTTCATTTATAAATTGATACCTCTGGTTCCCTGTTTTCAGTCTTGCAGGATTTTCATCTGTGTCTGTTTTATTTGGCCTCTAGTACGTATCTTTGTTGTAGAGG